AAATAACGGGGAGAATCAGATTTCTAGTTACCACATTACAATATTCAAAATGCCCAGTTTTGTGCCGGCATTGGTGGTATAGTGGTGAGCATAGCTGTCTTCCAAAATGTCCAGTTTTTAACTAAAAATTAAGAGGCATGCAAAGAAACAAAGAAAGCATGGCCCAATCACAGGGAAAAAAAAAAAAATTAACAGAAACTGTCCCTGAGGAAACCCAGACATTGGACTTACTAGACAAAGACCTTAAAATTGACTATTCTAAATATGTTCTTCTTTTCCTGAAATCTGATTAATAAAAAATAAATAGATAAATATGCTCAAAGAGCCAAAAGAAACCATGGACAAAGAACTAAAGGAAACCAGAAAAATGATGTCTGACTAAATAGAGTATATCAATAATGAGCTAGAAATAAAGGAACCAAATAGAAATTTTGGAGTTGAAAAGTAAAATAACTGAAATAAAAAATTCATAACAGGGGTTCAACAGCAGATTTTAGCAGGCAGAAGAAAGAATCACTGAATTTGGCCTCTAACTCTGTATTTATGTATGTTTAAAAAATAAATAAATGAATAAACATCTTTCTTATGCACAGTCCCAGCCATATGTGCAATTTAGCAGTATACATTAAAAATTAATAGTTTAATGTATCTCCCTGCTGATGAGGAAAGGGAGGCTTGTGCATGTAGTGCCAGCTACTCAGAAGGCTGAGGCAGGAGGATCGCTTGAGGCAAGGAGTTCAAGACCAGCCTGGGCAACGTAGCAAAACCTTATCTCAAAACAAGAAAAAAAAAAGAATCACCAAACTTGAAGATAGGTCAACTGAGATCAAATTTGAGAGGGCAAGAAAAAAAGGAATGAAGTAAAATGAATAGAGCCTAAGAGACCTGAGGGACAGCATCAAATATACCAACATATATACAATGGTACATATGGACCTAAACTTAGGCCAGAATATTCTAGTTAACTAGAAGCATAAATGGGTCAGTCCTTAAAATGCACGCTTTTCAGAATGATTTTTAATTTGACTGAATTGTCCAAACTGAAGAGTCTCATAAACAGATCATTTACCTTTGTACCTGTACTGAACTTCTAAATAAAGACTTCAAATGATATAGGAAACTATTTTTTTCTTACAGGTGTTCTTTATTTCAGTCCTCTCTAGGACTGATCTCCCATTCTCTCTGCATCTATTACATCTACATCAACCTTGATCCAACTCAGGCCTGAAACAGAACCAACAGTACATACTTTCAATTGCCAAGTAAATTTTCCGCTCTCCTTCCTTGGGTTCTTTGCCAGGAGGGAAGTATGTTCCTCTGATTGTAATTGCAGCTTCAGAGTATTCGCTGATTCTCTGCAGAGCTTCCTTAGAAGTAACTTTCCACCTAGCAGTCTAAAAGAGAGGGTAGGGAAAGAAAATCACATCACAACAAGATAAAAAACCCTGATGTGCTGACAAAGAATAGGTTGGCTAATATCATGGGCAATATGAAGATTATAATTAACATATACCTACATCGTAAGTTCGTTTAGATCCTAATGTGCCTTGAACCTATTCATAAAAATCAAATTTCTATTGTTCTATCATCTATTGCTTAGGTAAAAAATGAACTATTAAAATGTTCATGGGTTTTAAAGATAAGATTTTGCTCCTAAAGAAGAGTTTCTACTTCACAATAAAAAAAGGTTTAAATCTGTTACTTGCCTGTGGGAAATCATTGATCTCTAATTCTTCCTCATATCTCTTAAAAGATTCATTCTGTCCACCATCCTGTCTCTCTTCTTCTTGCTTCTCTAAAGGCACATAATTGAGCTTGGCATTGATCTTTTCGGCAAGCTGCTCTGCGATGGTTTTTGCAGACACGGTGGGAGCCAGAATGGTGCCACCTCTGAGAATGGCGTTGGTGGCCTGTTGCATCACATCCTGCAGTTAAAGAAGACCTGCAGTCAAATCTCAAATAAGCACAGAGACAGGTACAGGGACCCTACCATGAACTGTTCTCTGAAAAGCCTCTAACTCTGTATTTATGTATGTTTAACAAATAAATAAATGAATAAACATCTTTCT